CCCCCCCCCCCCCCCCCCCAAAAAAAAATTCCAGTCCCATGGGGAGCCCCATGGGCTCAGTTACATGGCTTTGAGGGCCAGGGGTTGAACATTCTTACTGCAAAGCAGATGTTCACATTTTATGTTAAATATTTGTATTGTAGTAGCACTACAGCCCGCCCTGAGACTGGGCATCCTACAGAGCTTGGTATGGTATGAACCAGTTGCAGGGAGATAGTCTGCTCCAAAGAAAATAGACTGTAAATAGGCAAGGCAAGCAAAAGGTGGCAAGGGAAGAGGCATGGAGAGATGAAGTGATTTTCGCACATCAGGTCAATGGCAGAATCCAACTGCAGCGGTAATGGAGGGTGCTCAGATCAGGCCATGGAGTTATCTGAGATATGAAATAGTTTTAACTGGAAGAAAGAGCTGTTTTCACCAAGTGTTTGTGTGAACACCTGTGGGCCAAGCCCAACCAACACAGTTAAAGTATTGAACAGAAATGAAATTCTCCTTTGCACATAGGAACTCCAGGTCAAAATGTAGTAACCAGAACATGCCACCTTGGTTATACTAACTGTCGCTACTTTCCGTTTTGGTTAATGTATTGTTGCAGTAACAAAATACCTGTTTTAATTCATAGGGTTGTTGTGAAAAGGAAACTACATTATTAGATAGTGTTTGAGTTATGCTGTGGTTACAGGCAGACATATTATTTAGGTGGAATAGTTGTTCTTTTAAGACAAATGTTGAGGTTTTTCTCCAATACAAATAACTTATTTTTTCATTGTTTATCTACATCTTCCAATGAGTAATATATAGCAAATAATTTATTGGATGATTATTTTTTTCCACTACTTGGTGACTAAATTATTCATGACTGTTTATGTTTGAAGCAACAGTGAGAACTATTATTATTATTACTATTATTATTATTATTTGATCAGCCTTAGAAATGGTAGGGTAAATTCATAATTAAATACTCTGGTGTGTGCTTAGCTCACAGATGCTATTCCCTAGTGGTATGCCAAAGAGTCAACGAGTAAATATTGTATTATTAAAATGTAAATC